GGGCACTCTGTCTGACAAAGACAGGTGAATTCATGTTATATTTTCACTTGGACACCTTTATATCCTGTTTATAGCGTCATTAACTTGAACTTAATTGTGCAGTAAATCCCTACAGTTTTCTAATCTGCACTATTTCAGTCAGAATTCTAATTATGTACTAAAATATTTGATTTGTTTTGTGTCAGCTACACAATCCAGCTGCAGAATATATCCTCCACCTCAGGGCCACTGACTTAATTCTGTCTGACTGACTCATTTTGCTTCTCGTGTTGCTAAAACAGTAAAATAAAAGAACTACAATATGGTTCCAGATTAATTTTCTCTTTTACTCATCATCCAGCCCAGAACGCAGGCTTGACTTTGACACAGTCACAGGCCACATAGTGCTATAATTTCACTTTTGCACCTTCTTATTCGTCATTAAATTAAAAAAAATAAGTCGTGTAATAAATCCCCAAGTCAAATGAATGACTAGAAAACGACATTTTAAGATTTTCTGTGTGTTTGGTTGCACAACGCATCTACAAAACTTTCTGTTTCCTCACAAACTCAACTTTTGATTCAGTTTTTTCCCCATTCTGTGTCATAATTGCACGAAAATAACGCAAAAAACTCAGTGCCGTCACACCTGGCAGCCCTGTTGTGCTGTGAGTCGGTGCTATTTGGTGCAAAAGTTGAATTTAATCGAAAGTTTTGTGGTTGGATTTGAGTCCTGTTTGATGTAGAAGCGATTTGGAGCATTTTGTCTGCAGCTGTAATGACGCAAAAGCGATTTTTTTGTTTTTTTTAGAAAGACTAAAAGAATAAAACGTACCTATTCTAGATGAGGCTGAAGCACGAGCCTCCCTCCATGTCAGCAGATGTCATCCCTCCTCTCCGCGCGCCTCCGGAGCTGCGCATGCATCAGTGATGATCACAATAAAAAAACAAAAACAAATAAAAATACGAAACGAATCCGCCAATAAAACGGTGATATATTTCGAAACATGTGATGTCATCCACGGTCTATTCCCGCTCGTTTTTGTTTAAAAATAAATGTCTCCTAATGTGAAAAAAAATGTGCGTCACTTCTCAGTTCGAGCAGAGAGCCGAACTGCGCAAAAAAAAAAAAAAAAAAAAAAAGCGCTTCTTTCATTTTCAAAAAAGCCCAGATCGTCCAGCAGCCACCGCGATGTCACAGTGATTTTCTCTCCAACATTATTTGTTTGTGTGTCAGAGGAACGCTGCCCATCGGAGCTCAGTGACCAGCCTCCTCCTGACATCTGCTGCGTGGAAACGCGACTTAAAAACCGCAGATTAGAGGCGCAGCGGGGACAGTTATTGTCTCTGCAGCTCAGCTGAGAAAATATTTTTTGAAATTGTTACCCAAAAAGATGCGAGGGTTTGATTGGACGGGGCTGATAGGCGGGCCAGCCTGGAACAGACCATAATGCTCTGACAACGTAACGGTGACAAGGTGCCCGCAGCCAGAGTGCGCTAAAGTCAGTTTCTGATTCGTATCTGCTCGGCCGGCAGTTAAGGGGAAATTTAAGGGAAACTTAAATTCAAAAATGACGCGATAAAAACAAATAAAATCTGGACTAAATCATGTCTGAGAGGGGAAAGAGTGTTTAAAACACAGTTTATGATTTGGGAAAGCTTTATTCTATTTGTGCAAATAAGGGAGATGTTGCTGCTTTGTGTGTGTGTGTGAATGTAGACCACATTGGATCAGGTCCTGTTAAAAAACAACAACAACAACAACAACACACACACACACACACACACACACAGTATCTTTAAGACATAATCTGTCATTTGTTGTGATGTGATCCAGATATTTCTTTTAAAAGCAGTAAAATCTCCTCTTTTTTTTTTTTTTTTTAAACTTTTACAAATAATTTATGGTCTCACAAATCACGGATTGTGTTTTGAAGACTTTTGAGCCTCTCTAGGACAACATAGTCCAGATTTCACTCGTCTAGATGTTGTGGTTTTTACATGTGGCCCTGGTCTAATATGAAGAAGCAGTGAAAGTTCCCATTTTGCCACTTTTACAAATAGAGAAAAGGTGTGACATGATTTAAAATGGATCTCAGACAACACTAAGAGGTTGCCTATGACGTCCAAGGCGGTTTTACATCAATAAAATAAGAGGAAGGAGAAAATTAGTTGCTCAGCTCTGTTAAAATTTCCCCTTAACTTCCTCCTTAACTGTCGAATAGGAACCAACGAAAAAGAAACTAACTTCAGCGTCACCCTCATCATGAAGCGGAGTTCTAATTAGACACAGTCACGATGCTGAATGTTGATATCGCCGAAATATACGAGTCCTTCTTCCTATTTTATTCTGATTTCCAGTAACAGAATAAGAGAGGTGTGTTTCGTAGTTGGCTGACTGGGGGCGACATCTCCCGGTTTCCTCTCCTCATCTGCCCTCTAGTGATGAGATCTTATAAAGCCTGACAGTCTGACAGTTGGGTGCAACGCAGAGGTCATGTGTTTGGAGATCCTGCCCGCTGCGCACTCATCAGAGGAAGACATGCGCCACTTTCCGCACGTTAACCGAGAAAGCGCTGCTATTCATGTCCAGATAACGTACACACCAAGCTTACACAGAGTTTTGTCAACGAGATTGTGAAAAAAAAACGGAAGGTGAAATCAGGTCATATGAGAGGTGGTCTAATCTGAGGTCACTCAATAGGCTGTTTAAAGTACACAACATGGTGCGTAATGGATGTGCGTAAAGACACAAAGGTTGTTTTTTGCGCTTTTTTTCGCGCTTTTGGTGCCAGGGATCGAATTGGATCTTCGTCCAGTCAAGGAGAAACAGGCATGTGTCGCGGTCAGAATTGCAGGAACCGGTAGTTTCCGTTGCGTCAGCGCCTGGCAGTTGAGCGCATCAATAATAGGAAGGACCTTTGATTTTCCTCGTTGGCTTTTCTCTTAACTTAATCAGTTTTAATCAGTTTTCTAGCTTGATTAACTTTTCTTTTGGTTTGTTTGTTTTGATCCCATCCCCCAAAAGAAGCTTCCATTACTGTGGGGCAACATATGGCACAGGGGCTTATGAATCCGGAATCATCGCATTTGGCACGCTTTTGCGCGCACATGCACTCAGGTCCTCCACACTGTTTATGGTTCAGTGGCTCCCTAATTTGGAGGGGGAAGGACTTTTATTAACAAAGTTGAGATCAACAGCTTCTTTTAATTACAAACTGAATCCCAAAAACCCTCCGGTGGGTTTGAAATGCATGTTATCTTTTTAGAGAATCACCAAAATTACACCATTTATCAGAGCTAGAGACCGTAAAACTGAAAGGCTCGGTGGATTTTCAATTTTCCAACAGTCCCTGAAGTAATCGGCTGTGACGTTCACTTCTGTCACTAAAATTAACCAGATCAGAGTTTAAAGCCTTGATAATCCATCAAAATTACTTGTACATGTCTCATTTTAAAAAAAA